GCTTTCTCTAGTTGCAGTTGTGAACCTGGTTGTGGCAGTGCTATTCTTTAGTTGCGGTATGCAGGCTTCTTACTGTGGAGCTTCTCTTGTTGCAGAGCACAGGCTCTATAGAGTGAGCTCGGGCTCTGTAGTTGTGATGCACAGGCTTAGTTGCCTCACAGCATGTGGAATACTCCAGAGAAGGGATTGAACCTGAGTCCCCTGCATTGGCAGGTAGAGTTTTAACCCCTAGACCACCAAGGATGCCCACCAAGTTCTCCCTTTATAGTTACATTCAGTCTTCTTTTCCTCCACCATCCCTCACCCCTGGCAACCAGTAATCTGTTATCCACCTCGATAGTATTATAATTTCAAGAGAGCTGAGTGATAAAGAATTGATGCTTTTGAACTGTGGTGTTGGAGAAGACTCTTGAGAGTCCCTTGGATTACAAGGAAATCAAACCAGTCAATCCTAAAGGAAATCAACCCTGAATATTCATCAGAAGGCCTGATTCTGAAGCTCCAATACTTTGGCAACCTGCTGTGAAGAGCTTGATGAGCCGACTTATTAGAAAAGACCCTGATGCTGGGAAAGATTGGGGACAGGAGGAGACAGGGATGACAGAGACGAGATGGTTGAATGGCATCACCGACTCGATGGACATGAGTTTGAGCAAGCTTTGGGAGGTGGTGAAGGACAGGGAAGCCTGGTATGCTGCAGTCCATGGGGTCACAAAGAGTCAGACATGACTGAGTGACTGAAGAGCGACAACATCAACAACAACAATAATGTTATGTAAAAAGAATCTTGTACTGTGTGACCTGTTGAGACTGGCTTTTGTTTTTCCCCACTCAGTATAGCACCCCACTCCAGTACTCTTGCCTGGAAAATCCCATGGACGGAGGAGCCTGGTAGGCTGCAGTCCATGGGGTCGCTAAGAGTTGGACACGACTGAGCGACTTCACTTTCACTTTTCACTTTCATTCATCGGAGAAGGAAATGGCAACCCAGTCCAGTATTCTTGCTTGGAGTATCCCAGGGACGGGGGAGCCTGGTGAGCTGCCGTCTATGGGGTCGCACAGAGTGGGACATGACTGAAGTGACTTAGCAGTAGCAGCAGGATCATCCTAGTTGTTGCATATATATCAGTATTTTGTTTCTTTTTATTGCTACATGGTATTCATGAAATGGAATTATCATAATTTGTTCAGCCTATCATTGAGAGGCATGTTAAGGGATCTGCTGAGTCACCTTTCGAGTCATATATAGGGGGCCATGTTGGTGGTTTGCAGTTTTTAGTTATTACATACAAAACTGTTATGAATAACTACGAACAGGTTTTTGTGTATGCATACTTTCTCATTTCTTGGGGATGAATGCTGTGGAATGCAATTGCTGGTGTATTTTGTTTAGTTTTTCAGGAAACCAGCAAACTATTTTCTAGTGTTGCCTGTATCATCTTACATTTCCACCAGCAATGGATGAAAGATCCAGTTTCAGGGCATCTTTACCAGCATTTCAGTATAATCTCACTTTAATTTGATTATATCTGCAAGAACCCTATTCCCAAATGAGGTCACTTTTACAGGAATGGGAGCTGGAATTTGAACATATCTTTTTGTAGGATACAAGTCAACCCATAATACCTGTTTCTACTTCCTTGAGTCAGAGCGGGTCTGTCTTCAAAGTCTTGCTTTATGAAAAGACCCTTGCATGGTATTAGAGATGCCATTGACTGTTGAGTTTTGCCTCCAGAGATGGATGAGAAAGTTTATGTCATTTAAAGGGACCTTACTGAGTCTTTCTGAACTTTGTTCAGCCCTCCAAAATTTCAGAGACTTGATAATAATAAATATTCTCAAGATGGACAATGTCAGTGTCATCTTCCTACCCTGTTTTCCCATGAGAGTTCTTTCCCACTTTCTCCAGTACAGACAAAGGAAGGGAAAAAAATGGAAGAAAAACTGGATTATAAAGTTCTTGAGGGAAAGGACACCATCTTAGTTACTTGTGTACCTCTTTCAGGGTATCAGCTGAAAAAGGTGCTCAGTAAATGTTTGTTGGATGGATAAGTAGATGAGATGGGAGAGCCTAGGATGCCTGCACAGAAGTGGGGAAAGAGAGTCAAGGTTGGTTTTATATGTGGCCTCCTCCTGACCTCCCTGCTTCCCAAACACATAACTTTTCATTCATAGGATCCTAATATCTGGATCAGGTTAACTACATTCTTTTGCCCATAGTTGAACATCTGTTCCATTCCATTGCTGCTTATGTATGTATGCCTCTGATTTCCAAATGGAGAAGTTCCTGAGAAGGTAGCATTTGACTTTCTGTTCTGTGCAGCACCCTAAGCTCCAGAAGGCAGAATTGTATAGGTGTCAAGAGAACAGAATTAAGCAGGTGGGGATTTTATCCTTGGCCCACCATTTACTATCTATGTGGCTTTGACCTATTACTTATTCCTCTTAACCTCTCTTACCTGTAAATTGGGTATAAGATATTTATGTGAGCTTATCTTGAAGTACAATGCATATACAGAATTGTGCACAGATTATAATTTCACAGCTCAATACATTTTCACAAAATGGCATGCTTCACATTACCAAGAATATAAGAAGCCCCATCTTATATTCTCTTAGGCACTATCTTAGCCCAAAGTAATTCCTATCCCAATTTATAATTGTATTTTTCCTGGTTTTGAACTCTTCATAGATGAAAATATAGGGCATATCTTTTGTGTTTGGTTTCTTTTGCTGATTGTCATACTTATGAGAGTCATCTATATTGTTTGGTATAGTTATAGTTTAATATACAAGCATGCTACAATTTAATGACTCCTTCTACTGTTGGTGGACATTTGGATTATTTCCAGTTTGGGGCTTTTATGAATGAAGATGCTCTGAAAAATTCTTACATAAGTTTTTTTGGTGGGCAGGGACATGTTCATTCAAGGGCAGGATTGGTAGGTATTAGGGTATGAATATCTCTCAGCTATATAGAACCTGACTTACACTTTAATAAACATTTTGTGTTTTAACTGTCTTTTCTGGTAGCTCAGACGGTAAAGAATCCATCTGCAATGCAGGAGACCCCGATTGGATTCCTGGGTCAGGAAGATCCACTGGAGAAGGAATAGGCTACCCACTCCTGTATTCTTGGGCTTCCTTGGTGGCTCAGCTGATAAAGAAACCACCTGCAATGCGGGAGGCCTGGATTCTATCCCTGGGTTGGGAAGATCTCCTGGAGAAGGGAACGGCTATCCACTCTAGTATCCTGGCTTGGAGAATTCGATGGACTATAATGGGGTCACAAAGAATCGGACACTACTGAGCAACTTTCACGTTCTTTCACTTTAACTGTGTAGTGTACTAAAAATTACATTAGGTTGTGGAAACATTTAATGTGGTCTTTGGCCGATGAGTGAGTGAGTGAGTGAAGTCGCTCAGTCGTGTCCGACTCTGCGACCCTGTGGACAGTAGCCCACCAGGCTTCTCCGTACATGGGATTCTCCAGGCAAGAATACTGGAATGGGTTGCCAGTTCCTTTTCCAGGGGACCTTCCCGACCCAGGGATCGAACCCAGGTCTCCCGCATTGCAGGCAGACGCTTTAACCTCTGAGCCACCAGGGAAGCCCTCTTTGGCTGATAGGAGGCCCTCAATATGTATTGTATTTAAAATGTAATGAAGGCATCCTATTCCCTTAAGTCAAAGTGCCATAATGGACTTAAATATTTCCCTATTGCTTCTTCATCCACATTATTATCATTGTTCTGTCACAATGAATGACTCTGTTTCTAGCCATTCCCTTCTTTGGAAAGATTTTCTGTTGGTAAATTAGATTCAACTGGATCAAAGAATATGTGATCATAAGAACCATTACCCTGAAAAGGGCTCTGAAGCCTGCTGAGAAGGGGAAATCAAAGAGGCACTAGTCTCAATCCCGATGACATATATAACTAAAGAGAACTTATTGTAAAGCCAGGAAACTACTCTATACCCTGTGATGACCAGTATGGGAACAAAATCTAAAAAAGAGTGCATATATGCATATGGACAATTGAATCACTTTGCTGTACGCCTGAAACTAACACAACATTGTAAATCAACTATATTTCAATAATAAAAAAAAAGAAGCAAGCCTCTCATACCATGGCCCAGGAGAGGGCTATGAATATAGATGGCTTATGGGTTTCATGAAAGAGTATCTTGTAGCTAAAGTAGGGTAGACTAGAATGGAGGCTGATGATTTTTATAAATGATGGTATGGTTTTTATCAACTCAATATTTAATTCCTTAGAAGATAAACTGGATCATTAGAAAAAGTGTTTAAAAACCTTTAATCAAGGAACTTCCCTGGTGCTCCAGTGGTTGAGAATCTGCTTGCCAATGCAGCAGACTTGGGTTTCATCCTTGGTCTGTGAAGATTTCACATGCTGTGGCTGGGCAACTACTGAGCCCATGTGCTGCAACTACTGAAGCTCGCATGCTCTAGAACCCATGCTCCACAACAAGAGAAATCACCTCAGTGAGAAGCCCCTTCACTGCAACTAGAGAGTAGCCCCTGCTCATTGCAACTAGAGAAACTCCGTGCAGCAACAAAGACCCAGTGCGTGAGTGTGTGCTAAGTCCCTTCAGTTGAGTCCAACTCTTTGTGACCCTAGGGACTATTGCTTGCCAGCCCCCACAGTCCATGGGATCCTCCAGGCAAGTACACTGGAGTGGGTAGACCCAGTGCAGCAGTGCCCCCCCACCAAAAAAAAAAAAAGTTAAAAAACAAAACAAAACAAAAACCCTTAAATCAGAAAGGAGAGAGAAATCACAGGTGCAAAGATTTACTTTATTTATTCATTGTCCCCCCAACATTAGCATGATTAAAGCCAAAGAGGGGGAGGGGGATGAGGCGGGGAGATGGGTCAGAGGATTGCAATAGGGGTTGATCTGTGGGAAAAGGGCCTGAGGAGGGGTGAGGGGCTGGGACCGAATTAGCCCAGGTGACTGGGGAGCCTATAGCCCTCCTGCTCTAACATTCGTTCTTATTGAAGCTCTTGACGAGGGCGGTAGTCAGGCTCTTGTGGCTGACCTCGCACGCATAGACGTTATGGCTTTGGTACTCTGAACTGGACAGTGTCAGGGTGCTGCTGAGGCTGTAGGTGCTTTTCTTGCTGTCCTGGTCTGTGAAACTGTTCTGGAAGTTGCTGCTCTGGGTAACCCCATCCACTTTCCACTTGACATTGATATCTTTGGGGTAGAAATCATTCACCAAGCACACGACAGAGACAGTATCAGTCGTCAGCTGCTCGTCAGATGGTTTGAAGAGGAAGATGGATGGCTGAGCATCAGACCCTGAGGACGGAAGAACAGAGAAGGGTGTTTAAGTAACAGTGAAGTTCTCTACTGGGGTGCACTGTCTGGGGATGACCTTGGAAATGCAAAAGACAGATGTGCAGAGAGCTGCATGCTTTTTTTGTAGTATCCAAGGGCCACCCAGGGAAGTCAGGAAGCAAATTCACAATTGCCATGATTTTGAGTTTCCCCTTAGCCCCTATTCCTTAAGAAAGCTCTGATTTTTTTGTACTCTTTGCAGCCATTCTAAGGCTGCAAAATAATATGAATTTTAGAAAAAAATGAAGTGAAATATCCCATGAACATACTCTTCTTTGGGTCAATCCTTGATAGCTTTAAACATTCTCTCCTGCATTAAAATATTAAATAATTAGGATATTTGATATAGAAATTCTTGTAAGTCCTTATATCTTCCAGGGGATTATCTCAACCCAGGGATCGAACCCAGGTCTCCCACATTGGAGGCAGATTCTTTACTGGCTGAGCCACCAGGAAAGCCCTATCAACTTTTTAATGGAGTTTAAAAATTCATTAAAAGATTTTTTTAAATTCCTAAATAATTTTAGAACAGTTTAAAATACTTAAATAGTTTAAGCAGTTTGAAAAGAGTTTTAAGTTTTCTGACCTTATCTTTCTTTCCTTCATCTGTGTTCCCTGCCTCCTACAAGGGAACCCAGTGCAAGAGGCCAAGAAACAAAACCACTTCATCAGACCCTCCTGAAGTGAGAACAGATCTAACAAGATCACTTCCCCCTTGCGTCTCCTAGTCCTGTGCGGTGATGTCAGGCTGTCTTCCACTTCCTGGGTTTCCTTTGGGCATGTTGGGGTAAGACTCACCCTTCATGGGTGAGCCCCAAACTCTGAGTCTGGGTCCAAGAGTATATGTGCGGGTGTCAACCCCTTCACCCTCTGTGATCAGGCCAGCAACTCTCCCACTCCTTGCAAAAGGTCTCAAAGGGAGACCCCCAGCCCTGGCCTTATGACTGTCACCATATGGGGCAAGTCTCAGGCAGACTTGCAGGGTCAACTGTAACTTCAGCCACCTGCCCAGGAGAAACTGATGAGCTTCACTTTTGACTGTGAGCAGCTGCCAGATGGCCTGCTAGAAATCCCCTTGGTAGGCCTTTGAGTTCTTGAATGGGAGAGCATTAATTAAATAACAAATTAAGAATTCTTTCCTGGGAGAAGTCACAGATAATTGAACAGATTTTATAAAGCTATAAACCTCCATGTTAACCAAGCAGTTCAATATCAGATACTTAATTTTTAATGTTTTGATATTTTCCTTTCTTTTACCCTTTGTATTATTTTTTTTCAGAGAATTTTATAAAATAGCCTATTCAGTAAAATAAGATGAATTCTAGAAAAAAAGGAGCTGAAATATCCTATGAAGAAACTCCTATTTGGGTCAATCCTTGGTAGCTTTAAACATTCTATCCTGCATTAAAATATTAAACAATTATCATATTTGACATGGAAATTTTTGTAAGACCTCGTACTAACTTTTTAATAGAATTTAAAATTCATTGAAAGATTTTTAAAAGGCCCTAAATTATTTTAGAACTGTTTAAAATATTTGCATAGTTTAAACAGTTTGAAAAGAGTTTTTAAATGGCCCTAAAATAGTCGTCAGGTTGTCTGCAAACCAAAAATAATCTTTTTCAAGTACCACTTTTGAAATTAGCCAGAGTAAGCAACAATGACAACAACAAATTTTTAAATGATTTTAAAGGGTAAAACACCCAGATTAAAAATTTTCTATCATGGAATGAGGGGGTTGGAAAATATTTTCTATTTTTTATTTATTTTTTTATTATTATTATTTTTTACTTTTTTAAACTTTTCTATTTTTTATGAAAAATTTATAAAAAATGCCATTGAGTTTTTATCAATGGCATTTATATACATTTAGATATTTTGTACACCTGAAATATAATCTTAAAGCCATTACATTTCTGAAAATTAAAAACATCGCAAATTTATCTTATTTTTTCCAGCAATATACCTATAATGATATTTAGTTTGAACTTTTAACTCAGTAAAAGTTAACTGATCAAAACCTGAATGGCCAGATTGCTAGTCTTCAGTTAGATTTTTGCTGGTGTGAATTTTGCCCTAAAAGAGTTATATGTATATAGAGAAAATTATATGTATGTATAAATGTATAATATTAACTTTTATATATATTTCATTTTGATTGAACATTTATTACTTAAATATATTTGATGAGAGAATATTGAAATAATTATAGATCACTGAAAAAATAACTAAGTTCTTTATAGACCCCTACTGGAAATTTTTATTAAGCAGATACAATAATATAAATTTTATTTTGGGAATTGCTGATAAAAATCAGGCTTCTCCCTATTTTCCCATGTTAGCTGGTGTCCATCACATTTCTGTTCTCTACTGTTAGCGACATGATTCGTATCACTGTGTCAGGAAAGCGCGCCATAACATAGCTGAATGGGCGATCACGGGGTTGGCCATGCCTTTTGTGGCCTTTAACGGTGAGCGGCCACTATAGCCCAAGGGCCTGGCCACCAACATCGTTCAATCACGAAAGAAGACCGCCCCGAAGTCTAAAGACAGCCGCGAGGTCTACAGACCACGTTAGCAGAGCCACGGCCTCCACAGCGGTACCAAGACACCACCAAGTAATAACAAAAATCATACTCATTAAAATATTTCCTATCTTTTTAACGTCCGTGGGCATCAAAAAAGTGCAATTATTTTATTTTCCTTCTCTTAAACAAATTTCTTCAAAGCTGAGTTTTTGGGAACAACCCTCTTTCCTTCATTTAAAAGAGGAGATGTATTTATACATTTCTAGTATTGTCTAACAAAGAAATTTGTTGTTTTTTTTTTTAAAGAGTAATCTGTCAAGGTATAGATCCCCTATAGCATTTCTGAATATTGACAGTTTATCACTCATTTTAGACTCTAAAAATAACACTGCTGCTGATTCTCAATCAAGCAGAAATTTTAACATAGAGAAGTATATTTTTCTAATGTCTTACTGATTTTTTTAGTGCATTCCATTAATTTTTATTGGTATAAAATAATTTATCAGACAGAGAGAGAAGACAAACACATTTCTCTACTTTTTTGTTTTGTACATCTAGCAAAAATCAGTACAATATTTGGCAAATCTCAATGAAAATTAATTCACTTTGGCTCTTTAGAGCTGCAAAGATTCCTTTTTAAGGAGATTCTTGAGATTTTTTAATATCCTATCCCAGGGACATTCTACAAATCTTAAGATGTAAAAAATTTAAGTCTCTGTTCTGATTTTTAAAAGCTAAACATCTTTATCTTTGAAAAAGTGTCCTTTTTCATCGACACTTATTTTTTTCCCCTTTGAGTCATTTGGTTTAAATTAAATTAATCTTTTTTTGTCTACAAATCCAGTTTTGGAGCTGAGTTTAACTTTTCAAACTGATAATAAATCTGAAACACTCTCATTTACCCATCTCTACAAAACCCATATTTAAGCCTTTAAAAGTCCATATTGGCATTTAGACCCACATTTCAGAAGGTAATAGAGAAAAATTATTTATGTCTAATCTCCAAATGTGTCCCTTGGCCAAAGATGATCCACAGATTTAACTTACTTTCCTCTCAACAAAAACCGCTTTTCGTTGCTAATCTCTTTCAATGGTCAGATACAGAGAAAATCTGGCCATTTAGGTGCCACATCAACTAACTAGCTCTTTGCTATTCCTTGAGACAAACTGATTTCCAGCCCCCGACTCATCTGATTTTTCAGAAGAATCCCATTCTCTTCAAAACTGACCTCAACTCATATCCCAAGCATTAAAACTCCCAAATTTCACAGCTCTATAAGAAAAAGGAGTTGAAAATTGCACTTACGTTTGATTTCCACCTTGGTCCCGCTGCCGAACGTAATTCAAAGTGATGTCCCTGATGTATCCCCCTTAACAAAAACCTCCTTCTGAAGCCAATCACAGGAAAAAGCACAATCCACAGAAGAATCCAGCCATTTCTCCGCCTTTCTCTCCACAAACTCTACTCTCCTTACAAATTCAATGATTTGGCTGTCTGTTCAGCTTAAAAATTGACTTTCTTCTGACTTTCTGTCTTTTACTTTTTGGGTCACCAGGCATGACTCATGTAACCAAAATGTCACAGATTTGCTCACTGATACAAGAGGACAAAAGTCGCACAAACAACTGAACAAAAATGTACTCACGTTTGATCTCCACTCTGGTCCCTGGGCCGAAAGTGAACCACAGTGATTCCCTAATTTCTGCTTGTACAAATACCTACCCTGAAAGGGCATCAAGCCTCCTTCCCCAATTACATTAAAATTAATCTTAAATTTACCATCAGCTAGCCTCCTATGGGAGAATTTCCCTTCCCCTCCTCTGTACCTAACCTGGGAATGAAATTTGTTTTAGCCCTGACACTGAATTAATGAAAACAGGCAAAAAGGAACAAAAAGTAAACCAATTAGACAGAAACAGCAAAAGATTAGCTGAAAACAATACTTACTTTTGATCTCTAGCTTGGTTCCTGCGCCGAAAGTATTTACACAACGGTTCCTCTTAACCTTGTTCCTATACAAAAACCCTTTCCCTTCCTGACCATTGAGCAAAGCTCTGTTTCAGAACAGATCCTTTGCTCACCAATACATTACTGAAACTATCACTCAGGCAAGTTATTCCCACCCAGAGACTGACTGGTTCTTCATAGAAAATGTGCAATCAGTTCTCCTGTTTGATTACAGATGAACTGTAACTTTGCCCTGGAGGATGGCAGAGTCTGGTTTCATAGAGTCAATGTACGGATCATTTCAGAGACACAGGGATCATAAGACACAGACAACTGAGAAAGGAAAGTTTGGATTTTACTCACGCTTGATTTCCAGCTTGGTTCCTTGACCCGACGTCTGCCACAGTGATAGCTGTACGTTATCTCGCTGTATAAAAACCCTTCTCACTAAAGGGGAACAGAGCCTTGGGTCAAGCCGCTGAAGCTTAACTCCCATCTCAAGCAGGTGTGGAGGCCCTGGGGCTTCTCTGATAGAGAATGTCTGTCATTCTTAGGTGAATTCTAAAATCCTAGATGATTTATTTATGTCTATGGCCTAAATAAATGGTCCCATATGTTAGCAATCTCCCACATCTGGACTGCTGCTTACCTATTTACTGGAAAGCAGATTGAATATAAATTAGAAAGAAAGATAAGCTCATTAAAAAAAAAACACTGTACTTTTAGACAGTTGAAGCGTAGTTGATTTACAGTGTTGTGTTAGATACATCAAAGTGATTCAGTTATACACACACACACATATATATTATTTTTAACATTCTTTTCCATTATACACTATTACAAGGTATTCCAGTAGTCATGTACGGATGTGAGAGTTGGACTATAAAGAAAGCTGAGTGCTGAAGAACAGATTCTTTTGAACTGTGGTGTTGGAGAAGACTCTTGAGAGTCCTTTTGACTGCAAGGAGATCAAACCAGGCCATCCTAAAGGAGATCAGTCCTGAATGTTCAATGGAAGGACTGATGTTGAAGCTGAAACTCCAATACTTTGGCCACCTGATGGGAAGAGCTGACTCATTTGAAAAGACCCTGATGCTGGGAAAGATTGAAGGCAGGAGAAGGGGATGACAGAGGATGAAATGATTGGATGGCATCACTGACTCAACGGACATGAGTTTGAGAAAACTCTGGGTGCTGGTGATGGACAGGGAGGCCTGGTGTGCTGCAGTCTATGGGGTTGCAAAGAGTTGGACATGACTGAGAGACTAAACTGAACTGAACTGATTGAATGTATTTCCCTGTGCTATATATAGTAGGACCTTGTTGTGTATCTCTTTAATATTGTATATCTGTTAATCCCAAACTCCCAATTTATCTCTCCCCCATCTTTCCCCTTTGGTAACCATAAATTTGTTTTCTGTCTATTTCTGTTTTGTAAATAATTTCATTTTAAAAACTGTACTTCTTTATACCTTCTCCTGGGGTGAGGGGGGGTGGGGCTTGCACATGATAAACCTCATTCAATGTCATTATGAAACTTCTTAGCTTTTCTCAGTTAATAATACTGAAATAATGTTTTTTCTATTTGAACCTCTCTTTTGCCACCATGTCGTTTAAAAAAAAAGACTAAATGTATTAATATATCAAACCAAGGCCCATGTCTTATTCTGAAATATATTTTGGAGTGAAGCTGTAGATGGCCCATGAAACAAAAACAAAGATCAAAAGAGTAGAAAAGTAGACTTTACTTGGTTAGTTGTCTCTTGTCATAGGACAGGTAGAGCTGGAGGGGTACCCACCATGCCACAATGAGCTGAACCGGGTATATGCTGTCTTTGGAGCTGCTAGAGAATTGTGGCATGCCTTGATGTTTCCATGGTAACTCCATCAAGGGCCCTGAAGACCTCATTTTGCTGTGAGTCCAGCTCTACTTATTCCAGTCCTGTTTCCCTTTTAACTTTCATTCCCACTTCAGCATACTAAAGTCCTTACTGTTCTCCTGAGACCTCCAGCTTCTACATAGCTCCCCTCTTCTTGGAAACATTTTTGTTCACCTGCCTTAAATTGTGAACAACCAATTGTCTTTCAAGACTCAATTTAAGAGAGACTTTCTGTTGGATTCAGTTCAGTTCAGTTCAGTCGCTCAGTTGTGTCCAACTCTTTGTGACCCCATGAATCGCAGCAGGCCAGGCCTCTCTGTCCATCACCAACACCCAGAGTTTACTCAAACTCATGTCCATCGAGTCAGTGATGCCATCCAGCCATCTCATCCTCTGTCATCCCCTTTTCCTCCTGCCTTCGATCTTGCCCAGCATGAGGGTCTTTTCCAGTAAGTCAGTTCTTTGCATCAGGTGGCCAAAGTATTGGAGTTTCAGCTTCAGCAACATCCCTGCCAATGAACACCCAGGACTGATCTCCTTTAGGATGGACTGGTTGGATCTCCTTGCAGTCCAAGGGACTCTCAAGAGTCTTCTCAAACACCACAGTTCAAAAGCATCAATTCTTCGGCGCTCAACTTTCTTCACAGTCCAACTCTCACATCCATACATGACCCCTGGAAAAACCATAGCCTTGACTAGACAGACCTTTGTTGGCAATGTAATGTCTCTGCTTTTTAATATATTATCTAGGTTGGTCATAACTTTCCTTCCAAGGAGTAAGCGTCTTTTAATTTCATGGCTGCAATCACCATCTGCAGTGATTTTGGAGCCTAAAAAAATAAATCCTGACACTGTTTCCACTGTTTCCCCATCCATTTACCATGAAGTGATGGGACCAGATGCTATGATCTTGGTTTTCTGAATGTTGAACTTTAAGCCAACTTTTTCACTCTCCTCTTTCATCTTCATCAAGAGGCTTCCTCTTCACTTTCTGCCATAAGGGTGGTGTCATCTGCATATCTGAGGTTATTGATATTTCTCCTGGCAATCTTGATTCCAGCTTGTGCTTCTTCCAGCTCAGTGTTTCTCATGATGTACTCTGCATATAAGTTAAACAAGCAGGGTGACAATATACAGCCTTGATGTACTCTTTTTCCTATTTGGAATTAGTCTGTTGGTCCATGTCCAGTTCTAACTGTTGCTTCCTGACCTGCATATAGGTTTCTCAAGAGGCAGGTCAGGTGGTCTGGTATTCCCATCTCTTTCAGAATTTTCCACAGTTTATTGTGATCCACACAGTCAAAGGCGTTGGCATAGTCAATAAGCAGAAATAGATGTTTTTCTGGAACTCTCTTGCTTTTTCAGTGATCCAGCCGATGTTGGCAATTTGATCTCTGTTTCCTCTGCCTTTTCTAAAACCAGCTTGAACATCTGGGAGTTCACAGTTCACGTATTGCTGAAACCTGGCTTGGAGAATTTTGAGCATTACGTTACTAGCGTGTGAGATGAGTGCAATTGTGCGGTAGTTTGAGCATTCTTTGGGATTGCCTTTCTTTGGGATTATCTCCCAGCAAACAACTCAATTTTGTAGAGTACAGAGGCAGGTCACTGAGCCTGTAACACCTAGTTGCCCTTATCTGCAGTTAGATTCTTTCTGCCCTGCTGGATTGTAAGCTGTTTGATGTTTCATTGCCTTCTATTTGGAAGGTCTAGTCTAGTATCTTCACTTGGTAAATGCTCAGCAAACATTTGCAGAATGAATGAAAACAACAAAACAAAGAGACAAAAACAAAAAAAACCATAAATAGTTGAAAAATCAAGACTAGATCAGGGCCGATAAATTAAAAAGGACCAAGGGTTAATACTGACTATGGTAATAGTAAGTTTTACAAAAGAAATTGTGATAGTAATTCTGAAGTAGGCTCAATACTATATACAAGACTGCACATGAAATGTTGCTTAAAAAGTTAAAAAAAAAGTTGTGGTAGGCATATATAATGGAATATTACTCATCCATAAAAAGGAACAAAATTGGATTATTTGGAGTAATGTGGATGAACCTGGAGTATGTAATACAGAGTGAAGTAAGTCAGAAAGAGAAAAATATCATATATTAATGCATATATATGAAATCTAGAAAAGTGGTACTGATAAACCTGTTTGCAAGAAGGAATAGAGATGTAGACATAGAAAATGAACTTGTGGATGCAGCAGGGGAAGGAGAAGATGGGATGAACTGAGAGAGGAGCATTGACATATATTGTGTGTAAAATAAATATTAAGAGCTAGGGGGAGACTGCTGCATAGCACAGGGAGCTGTTTGGTGCTTAAGGGTGACCTAGAGGGGTGGGATGGTGGGGGGAAAGGGAGGCCCAAGAGGGAGGGAATATATGTATACTTAGAGCTGATTCACTTATAGCTTATAGTAACTAACACAACGTTGTAAAGCAATTATCCTCCAATTAGAAAAAAAGGTAAAAGAAGAGAAAATAACTGACATCTTCAACATAAACTAATTATGACTGAGCTTTGCAATGGAGCACAAAACAGCCAATAAGAGGATAAAGTAGGTTTCTGCATAGTCACAAAGAAGGTGATTGCAAAGATATAGGCTGAATGGTATGTATTGTATGATACTATGATCCCATTTTAATTGAATATGTATGGATATGAATAGAGGCTAATTGCAGAAGGAAGTATAATCAACTGTGCTCAGTAATTGTCTCCTAAAATTGATTACAGTAGTTGTGGAAGAAAGAGGAGCCATGTCTTCTCTTTCTACTGTACTATTGTAGATTATTTGATTTTTAAAAATTATGGGAATATATTCATTTTCTGATTTTCAGAAACACTAAGGCTGTACCAATTTTGATAGTTTGATATCATCAAGTAGAATTCTCCATAGTCATGTGCAATTGTAAATATAATTTTTAAATGATATATACATGTTTAATTTTTCTTTGTCATTCAAATACTGTTTTAATAATCTTTAAATTAAGAGTGCAAAAAAGGTAGGAGTTTTCCTGTTTTGTATAGGAGATATTGTTTTACCAATGTAGGATATGTGGGTGTGACGTGGGGGCTGAAAAATGTATGTTCCTAAGTGAGTAAATAAGAGATTGAAAGTGAAGCATGTAAGTAAATGACTATTAAAAGCAGAATTTGCTACTAATAAAAGATGCTTATTATAAGAACTGTTGTGCAAAAGCTAGTTTTTTTGACCACACACAGTAGGATCAATAGGAATGGTTGTTGTGATGTTTGCTGTAACATCATATGGATCACTGAAAAGTGGCTGAGAACCTTAATGTGTATGTTTTTTATTATTTGAAGGCAAAGGATGTCTTAGAAGCAACTGTGAGGACCTACCATTCTACAGAGTGTCCAGGATGGGCCTTGATAAGATTGATTTACTAAGGAAAAATAGTCAATAAACTAGTCTGAGGGGTTCTTAGATTTATGCATGAGTGATGGAAACAGAAAATTTAGGGGAGCATTCCAAAAAACTCTTCACTAA